GTCGGCGACGCCAGCACGCAGAGAATCGGGCTCCACATCGAGCCGCATCGCCGATGCGGCGCCATCCTCCGACCCCATCTACTCGGCAGGGGTCAAGGCCCCCAAGGGTGCTTCGGCCAGGGGCCGCCGCCCTCGCGGGCCCGGGCCTGCTCTGGCCCAGCAGAGCAGAAGGAAGGGAAACACAGGAGCGTGCCAGGCGCTGCGCGCGAAGTTCCTGGCTCCGCGCCAAGCCCCTCCTCCCTGCAGCGCGGAGGCGCCGCGGGGGGGGGCCCAGCGCGGAGGCGCCGCGGGGGGGGGGGCCCAGCGCGGAAATCCGCGCGGAGCGCCAGAAGTGATGTGTATGGCGCCCTCTCTTCTTCGAATGGGTGGGCCTGGGCCCGCTCTGGTCCAGCAGACTGCGGGGCTGCCCTCCGACAGTTGAGCAGGGACCGACCGTCCCGGCATTCCTATAGGCCTACCAAGACATGTTCTTAGAACCCAAAGCTGTTCTAAGAGCGAAACAACTGTTCTTGGAACATGACCCCGATGTGTAAAAACAGGACAGCCCCAGCCAGAAATGCTCCAAGAGCACCCCGTGGAAGCCACAAAAAGGCTCCTAGCACACTGCTCGGCAGGCCCACAGGCACGCCAGGACGCCTCGCCACTGCTTGAGTCATGGCGTCGGGGGTCTAAAAACGCAGACCACGAACGATGGAGGAGAAGGAGGAGGAGAAGGGGGAGGGGGAGGAGGAGGAGGAGGAGGAGGAGGAGGAGGAGGAGGAGGAGGGAGGAGGAGGAGGGCAGAGGAGGAAGGAGCCAGGAGGAGGATGGTGAGGAGGAGGATCAGGAGTAGGAGGGAGGAGGAGCAGGAGGGAGGAGGGGGAGGAGGAGGAGGGCAGGAGGAGGGGGGGGGAGTGGGCGGAGGAGAAATGAGGAGGAGGAGGAGGAGGGAGGAGGAGGAGGAGGATGGGATGAGGAAGGAGGAAGTGAGGAGGGGGGGGGAGGAGGACGGACGGGGGGAGGAGGAGGGGTGGGAGGAGGTAGGAGGAGGGGAGAGGAGGAGGAGGCGAGGGGAGGAGGGGTGAAGAGGGAGGAGGAGGAGGAAGGGGGAGAAGGAGGAGGGGGAGGAGGAGGACCGCCGAAGGCGGAGCGCATGGGGCCGCTCCTGGCCACGGCGCGCCCGGGCCGGGCCCTCGCGCCTCGGGGGGGCCCCGCCCGAGGCCCCGCGCCCCTCCCGGGGGCCCTGCGGCGGCCCCTCCGGCAGCGGCCCCTGCTGCCATGACCAGCCTCGAACGTATCCCTATCCCTAAGATGGGCGAGCAAAAAGCGAGGACAATATCAGGGATAGGCCCTCAGAAACTGAGGGAATCCTTAAGATCGGCATCGAGGTGAGGTGATGTCAGACATAGGGATAGGGATATGTTCCAGGCTGGTAATGCCACGCCAGGGCGGGGGCAGCGGCCCAGGACCGGGGGCCTGCAAGTGGGCACCAGTAGGGGTCCATATGCGACCGCTACCCCTGCCCCCCTCGGAAATCGTGGGGGGGGTAGGGGTAGGGTTCGCATATGGCCCCCCTGACCAACACAGCACAGCAGGCTGCCTCCACAGGGGCAAGATGAGCCTCGCTCTCGGCGTTTTGGTGGTAATGATTCGGTCACCTTGGAGGCCAGGACATGACCACCGTCACTGGAAACCTTGGGCGCCCGAGATGGGTACGGACAAAAATGGGCACAATGCCCAGCAACAAAAGCTGTCCCAAGCCAACAGCGGCCGCTGTTGGGCAGGCGGCCCTCTGTCTCGAGTGGACACGGCCGCGGCGGCGCGGACAACGACACCTGTTCAACATGAACAGCAACTGCTCCGTAAGAGGAGGAGGTGAGGAGGAGGATGAGGAGGAGGAGGAGGAGGAGGAGGAGGCGTTCGTGCCGACAGAAGAGTGCGGGGGCCGGCTGCAGCAGCCCTCGGGCCGGCCCCCCCGAGGGCCGAGGACGGAACAGTGGCGAGCGCCCTCGGGCCTTGCTCTCTTCGGGCTGCGGGGAGCCTCTCGCCATCGCTCCTCCTCCTCCTCCTCCTCCTCCTCCTCCTCCTCCTCCTCCTCCTCCTCGGGACAACCATGTTAAATACCCCCTGGGTCGGACGCCCTCTCCCTGCGATCGAATGTTTCGGCGTCGCGCGCTGATGTCTCGCACGATGCCCAGAGATGCTCCCCGGTGGTCCTCGCCGAGAAGATGGGCACACGTCCGAGCGACGCCAAGGCCCAGGACACCCTCCATCGACGTCGACCGCGGGGGCCACCCAGGTCCCAGATGCCCCTGGAGGCCAACAGCGACAGACAGCCTTCGTCCTCGAAGCCTCGATCTCTCCCCCCCCTCCTCTGAAGGCCGCTCGGATAGCGCCGGAACGAATGGGACCGGAGCATCTCGCCGCATCGGCGATGCATCTGCGAGGAGGAGGAGGAGGAGGGGGAGGAGGAGAAGGAGGAGGAGGAGGAGGAGGAGACCCACCCTCGCCTCCTCCGACGTCGCACTTCGATCGCGGCGCGGCTCTCAGGGAATCGGGGAGGCCCGGCTTTGCCTCCTGAGTTCGGTGCAGCCCCGCGGCTCCAGGAAGCGGCCGCCGCATGCCCCCCCCCCTCCCAAACTGCAGTCACGAGGGTCACCCACGTTGCGACGCCCAAATCTTGAAAGGGCCTTGGGACACACAAACAAATAGACACAGATAACAGGAATTCCCATATTTGTAAATATCTTCCGGGTTTTTGTCTTCCCCCGCACTTCCCATATTTTCCCATATGTTCTGGGGAATCGACGATTGGTTGTGTCTGTGTGTTTTTTCCTTCCTGAGATCTGGAGGGTCACCCGCATCCTCGCCCCTCAAAAGTCAAGGGCCCTCCCCCGAACCTGTCCCAAGGTGCCTCCCGACGAGGCAGGCTTTCGTGGGAGGCCCACCCTGCTGTAATTGACCAGAAAACGAGCCCCTGACCCTTTGGGAGGGGACCCAAGTTTGGAGGGCCAGAAACATCAGGGATAGGGGGTCTTTTCTGCAATGCCCCAGGCCAAACCGCCCTGATGCATTATCCCTTCTTATGTGAAGACGGGGCCCTCAGTGAGGCCACGTCTTCATCGTGTTATTAGGGCTTATAAAAAAGAGAGAGAGAGAGAGAGAGAAACGTCATAAACATGAACTTTTGGCGCTCAGCGCGGATCTCTCGGATCCGCGCTGGGCCCCCTTCCCTGGCGCGCGGAGCGCGCCAGGGGCGGCGCTGGAGGCGCCTCTGTGGGGGCCCGGCGCGGATCCGAGAGATCCGCGCGGAGCGCCCAAAAGCTTATGTTCATGTCACGTTTGTTCTTCTAGGGCTAGGGGTCCGCTTGTCCTCGATATTCTTTTGCTGGGCCTCCCCGACACCGGAACCGTCCACGGACAGGACAGGGCATGTGAGGCCAATTTTTATGCACCACCACCGCCCGTAACAGTAATTTACCGCAGAAAGGGTTTGGAGGCCCAACCAGGACACCGCAAAGCGTCCACGGGCGCTCGGGGGGACGCGCCCCAACGGGTCGGCGCCCGCCCGGGCCAGACGGGGCCGCAGCCTGCAAGGCCAGGCCCGCAGCCAAGCAACGCTGGGTCGGGCAGGTCCTCCTGCAGGCGGAGCCGGGAAGACAAATCATGCTTCCCAACAAAAAAAACTGCTCAACAGTGGTGCAGAAGACTCGAAACATCGCCCCTCCTGTCGAAGGACATGCCCGACTATTGCTGATCACTCTTTCTGGGCATCCCTCCCGTGGAAGGACATGCCCCGACTCACGGGCAGCTTCCAGGCCCGGGCCCGCGGAGGGCGGGGAGAGAAAAGAGAAGGCTCGGCTCCGCACGGCCCCCGAGCCCAGGGCCAGCCTCGGTGGTGGACAAACCTCCCTCTAGTAAACCTCCCCTTGGTGAAAACGGCCCAGGACCGAAACCGACGGACCTGGACCCGCAAAAGCGACGGCCGCAGCGCCCTCTCGCGAGCCGAAGACGGCCTACTCCTTCATCGACGTGTCAGGGTCAGGAGGTCTATCAGCCTCCGACGGCCAGAGGGGCCCCAGGAGGATTGGGCGACCCCCGCTGGCGCGGAGCCCTGCTCCTGCGCCCCCGGAGCGCCAGGCCTCAGGGCTCGCCCGCCGCGGAAGCCCGAAGGTCGAGGAGAGGCAGAGGCCTGGATCCGACGATGAAGAAAGACGACGACGACGACGACGACGACGACGACGACGACGACGACGACGGCACAGACCGACCGACCGACCGACCGACCGCCAAATCGCGACCGACCGACCGACGACGACGACTACGACAGACCCAAGTCCGCTCAAAATCGGTCCCTGGACCCCTCCCAGGGGTCCGTCCTGGTCAGCTTCTCGGGCCGCGCCTGGCCGAAGGGCGGCGAGAGCCCCCAGAAACGCCCCCCAAGAAGCCCCGAAGCGGCGGCGACGACAACGAGCCGCTGTTGGCGCTCCAACCACGCCTCGGGCCGCGGGCGGCCGTCCGGGACAAGCCTGCCACTCCCGGAACCCTCTCGTCGAGGCGCAGCTGATGTTAAGTCGGGCGTGTCCCTCGACAGGTGGAACATTCAAACATAGTCTAAAACATGGCTTGATTTTTGAAGCATCTTTGAATATGTCTGAATAGTTTTCATTTTGCGTCCCAAATCCGCCCGTAGGAGGACATGCCCGACCTAGAACCCTCTCTTGAGCAGGGACCGACCGTCCCGGCAGTCCTATAGGCCTACCACGAAGTGCTCTTAGGATCCAAAAAACTCAAAGAACCAAAACAATGTTTTTAGAACACAACCCCGACGTGTGAAAACAAGATGACCCCGGCCAGAAATGTTCTAAAAACATGTCGTGCAGACCCTAAAAAGGGTTTCAGAACATTCTTTGGTGGGCTTATGGGGAAGCCAGGACGCTTTGCCACTGCTTCATTCTCGCCCATCGGCGGACCTCTGAGCGCGCCGGCCGCGGGCGAGCTCCTCCCCCCCTGGCCGACGCCTCCGGAGCGCCAGCCGAGCCTCGGCGCGAACGGCGGCGCCGCCCGCGGCTGCTGCGCCGGCGCAGGCGCGGGCGCGACCAGGGCGGCCACCTCGGTGCTGCGTCTGCTCCTCTTCGTCCTCGCTCGTCATCCGCCTTGTCATCCTCCCTCCCTCCGTCTCCTCTCTCTCCTCCCTCTCCCAGTCCATCTCTGGCCTCATCCCTCCTCCTCCTCCTCCTTCTCCTCATCACCCACCTCCTCCGCTTGCTTCCTCCCTACCCAACTCCTTCCTGCTCATCCTCTTCCCCTCATCCTTACCATCCTTCTCCTCCTCATGCTCATCCCCATCAATTCATACATCATGCTCTTCCTCGTTCTTTACCACCTCCGCCTCTCCTCCGCCTCCTCCTCCACCTCCTCCTCCATCTCCTCCTCCTCCTCCTCCTCCTCCTCCTCCTCGTCCTCGCTCCCTCCTCCTCCTCCTCCTCCCCCTCCTCCCCCTCTCCTAGCACAAACACCAACACCACACATTCACCATCACCCATCACCATCACCATCACCATCACCATCACCATCACCATCGCCATCGCCATCGCCATCATCACCATCATCATCATCATCATCATCATCATCAGCAGCAGCATCATCACCATCACCATCACCATTACCATCATCAGCATCATCAGCATCAGGATCATCAGCTTCATCAGTATCATAATCAGCATCATCATCAGCCATCATCATCAGCACCATAATCAGCAGCAGCATCATAAGACATCATCATCATCAGCATCATCATTAGCATCATCGTCATCAGCATCATCATCGGCATCATCATCATGACCACCACCATCATCATCAGCACCGTAATCAGCAGCAGCATCATGATCATGATGATCATCATAAGCAGCAGCATCAGCATCACCATCACCATCCTCATCACCACCACAATCATCAACATCAGCATCATCATCATCGTCATAATCGTCATCATGCATCGTCATCATGAGCAGCAGTTTCATCACCGTCACCGTCATCATGATCAGCAGCAGCATCATCATCACCATCACGATCAATCATCATACAGAATCACAAGATTCATCATCAGAATCGTCATTGTCATCAGCATCATCATCATGCATCAGCATCATCAGCACCAGTATCATCAGCATCATCTGCATCATCAGCAGCACCACTCTCACCAGGACCAGCACCTCCACCATCACCGACATCATCATTATCAGCATCGTCAGCATCAGCATCAGCATTATCACCACATGCATCGCCAAAACAAATCAGCATCAGCATCAGCACCACCACAATAACCATCGCCTTCACCATCAACATCATCATCAGCAACAACATCATCACCACAACGACCAACACCACCACCATCACCATCACCATCACCGCCGCCACCACCACCACCACCGCCACCGTCATCCCCATCAGCATCATCACCATCGTAAGAATCACAATCGCCATATCCATCGCAATCACCGTCACAGCACATCATCAGCATCGTCATCATCATCATCATCATCATCATCATCATCATCATCATCATCATCATGATCATCATCATCATCTGTATCAGTATCATCATAATCATCATCATCATCATCATCATCATCATCATCATCATCATCATCAGCATCATCATCATCATCAGTACTTTGACACTTCTCATTCCTAATCAATATTATTATCCTCCTCCTCCTCCTCCTGTCCGCCCTCCTCCGGCTCTTCCTCCTCCTCCTCATCATTTTAATCATCAAGATTATCAGCATCATCATCATCAGCATCATCATCACCATCATCATCATAATCATCATCATCATCATCAGTACTTTGATACTTCTCATTCCTAATCAATATTATTATCCTCCTCCTCCTCCTCCTCCTGTCCGCCCTCCTCCGGCTCTTCCCCCTCCTCCTCATCATTTTAATCATCAAGATTATCATCATCATCATCAGCATCATCATCACCATCATCATAATCATAATCATCATCATCATCAGCATCATCATCATCATCATCATCATCAGCATCATCATCATCATCATCATCATCATCAGCATCATCATCATCATCGTCAACATCATCATCATCATCATCCTCTCCCTCATCCAATTTCGCCTGAATTCTCCTTCGTCGTCCTTCGTTCCAACTCATCCCGTCCCCGACCCCCGCCTCTCAAATTCTCCCAGTCCCTCCCCTCGCTGCCCCTCTCCCCCCCTGCGGTGTGCGGAAGGGGGGGCGAGGGGAGGCCAGAGCAAGGCAAGAGGGAGGCCCCCGTCTCCGCCTCCTCATTATTCCTCCCTCCTTCCCCTTCCTCCTCCTCCTCCGACGACGACGAAGACGACGACGACGAAGGCAAAGAACGACGACTACGACGACGACAACGACAACCAACGACAACAACAACAACAACAACAACAACAACAGCAGCAGCAGCAACAACTAGAACGGCAACAACAACAACGACAACAACAACAGCAACAACAACAACGACAACAACAACAACGACAACAACAACAACAACAGCAGCAGCACCAACAACAACAACCACAACAACAACAACAACAACAACAACAACAACAACAACAACAACGACAGTCCTTCCAAGACTGTTCGCTCCGACAGGTCCGCGTGTCATTCACTATGCATATCCCAAACCTTGGATACCCGCCCTCTTCGCCTTCGATCGTACCCCCTTTTAGGGGGGTCATATTCCTTCCTGGCCACGTGTAAGTGGAGAAGCCCCTAAACAGGGAAACGAAAGGGAAAAGACAAAAAGAGAGGACGAAAGGATCGGAGGAAGGGAGGGATTAGAGGGGCAAGAGGAAGGGACGATGATGACTTGTGCCGATGATATGGGGCCTGAGTGGGCAATTTGGCGGGACCTCTGTGGGCGCGTTCGGGGCCTCTGTGGGCTGCGGCAGGGGCCTCTGTGGGCAGCATGGCGGGTCCTCACCGGGCGCGTCTGAGGCGTCAGCCGTTGTTGTTGTAGCCGGGGGCCCAGGGGCAAGTTTGGCCCGGATGACTTGCCCTGTCAAATAAACAGGGTGCGAGCGTCGAGGGGCGCCCTTGACTGATAAAAAACAATGCGCACAGGTGGGGGGGACCAACAGAAATCAATCTTCAGGAATGAAAGTTCAACATCAACTGACGTGCGAGAGAGAGGGAATCGGAAGGAGGGGGGAGGCGGCCCGGGAGAACGGAGGAGCAGGAAGGTAAGAGTGCGAACGTCCGAAGAAATCCTAAGCGAAACCGCCATTCCAAAAAGATTTCTCGGGCGGCAGCCCACGACGGGCGGGCGATCCTCTGACGGGCGGGTCGGGCGGGTGGGACATGGATTCCTAAGTAAAGTGTGGCGGCGCCCTTGGCGGGAGCGTGGTGCCTGAGCGTAGATCGCGCGACTTCTGAACAAACTGCGAAAAAGTCACAGGTGAGAACGCAATTCCTGAAAAGGGGATGTCTGGCGGGAGCGGGGGTCTAGACTAAAGCGCAAGGAAATCTTAAGCGGGAGCGCCGTCCTTGAGTGAACCGTGGGGAAGCCTCAGACGGGAGGGTGGGTCCTGGCTAAATTGCGAGGACGTCACAAGCGGGAGCGCCGATCCTGAGCAAATTGGGAGGAAGTCTAAGGCGGGAGCTGGAGTCCTGAATAAAGTTAGAGGAAGTCTCCGGCGAGAGCCGTTGTTGTTGTAGTCCGGGGGAGCAACAATGCAACTTGACCCGGACTAAATTGTGAGGAAGTCTCAAACGGGAGCGCCGTTCCTGAGTAAATTGGGAGAAGTCTCAAACGGGAGGGGGGGGTCCCGAGTAAATTTGGAGGAAGTCTCAGACGGGAGCCGTTGTTTTTGTAGTGCGGGGGGCCAGGGGCACAGCTTGACCAGGAAGTTTCCCTGTCAAAAAACATGGTGCGAGCGTCGAGGGGCACATCTGGATACAGAAAAAACAGTATGCACAGGTGAGGGGGGGTCAACAAGAATTATTCTACAGGAATGAGTCCTTCAACAACAACAACAACAAGAAGAACAAGAACAATAACAACAACAACAACAACAACAACAACAACAACAACAACAACAACAACAACAACAACAACAACAATCATTTTAAGACTGTTCACCCTTATCTGCTCGAGTGTCCAATAATGCATATTTCCCAAACCCTCGATACCCGCCCTCTTCGTCTTCGATCGAACTCCTTTGGGGGGTCTACTTTTCTTCCCTGCAGGCCGGGCCCCGCCAAGCGGCGGGGCGGCCGCGGACCGTCGGCCTGGCCAGCGGCAGCGCTGATCGGCGGGGCGGCCGCGGACCGTCGACCCGACCCCAAGAGGGACGGACAGGGGACCGACCACGACGACGACGACGACGACGACGACGACGACGACGATGGCGACGACGACGACGACGAGGGAAAGCGAGAGCGAGAGAGAACGACAGCAGGGCCACAAGGACACGAAGTAGGCCACGAAGGGCAACAGCGGGGACACGAAGGGAATGCATATGGGGCCACGAGGAGCGCGAACGAGCGGGGGCCACGAAGGGCATATGTATACTGGGCCGCGGAGGGCAAGGACGGGGCCACTGAGGGAAGCAACGGGGCCACGAAGGGCAGCGAGGGGGCCACGAAGGGCGACAGCGGGGCCACGAAGGGCAGGAAGGGGGCCACGAAGGGCGACAACGGGGCCACGAAGGGCATGCGCATGGGGCCACGATGGGCGCGAACGATCGGGGGCCTCGAAGGGCAGATCATGCGGGGCCACATAAGGCAACGACGGGGCCACTGAAGGTAGCAACTGGGCCACGTAGGACAGTGAGGGGGCCACAAACGGCGACAGCGGGGCCACGAAGGGCATGCACATGGGGCCATGACGGGCGCGAACGAACGGGGACCACGAAGGGCATACGTATACTGGGCCGCGGAGAACAAGGATGGGGCCACTGAGGGCAGCAACGGGGCCACGAAGGGCAGCGAGGGGGCCACGAAGGGCGACAGCGGGGCCACAAAAAAAAAAAAAAAAAAAACAAAAAAAAAAAAAAAAAACAAACAATAAAAAAAAAAAAAAAAAAAAAAAAAAAACAAAAAAAAAATCAAAAAA